TTACACCAGGTTCAGGGCTATAGTCAGCAAGAGCCTTGGAGTTCACGTTTTAGGCACCACTTCTGACCCTTTCTGCCAAGTTCTTAAAAAAATGTTGTTAAAGGATACCAGGGAATTGTTTACTCAAACCATTATTGTTTCCCGAACACAGATGCAAGAAAAAGTTTTATTAAGAAGATAAACAGCTGCTACTGTACACGGTTTAGATGGCAGCAAAAGCATCTAAGGGCCATAAAGGGAATAGTAAGGGAATTAAAAAGCATTTTTATGCATGAAGATGGCTAACATCTGTACGTTCATTAAAGTGGTATCAACTATGCTTTTAATTAAAAGTTAGTGACAGAAACTTAAATATGATTAATGAAGCCCAGCAGCCTAGCAGAAGTCTGCTCCATCAGAAGCAGCACAAGCTGCGTTCCCAGCCCCAACTGCTCCTTTCCTCCCCTCTCAGAGATTCTGCCACAACCAGAACACACTGCAACGACCACAAAGCAGAAATCCTGAGACAAACAACAAGCCAGGACAAGCCTGCATCAGTGCTTTCATGCCTGGCCATCCTTTATGCTGCATATCCCGAGGAGCCGTTCCAATTACAAGGAGCTGGTTACCTGCCGCAATACCCAGGCACTCAGGGATCCAGCGGAGGCAGCGGGTCTGCCACAGGAAAAGAGGGAAAGGGCTGCCCTACAAACAGCAGTCCCCTGTTCAGCCGTGGGTGGGGGGAAAACCCCTCGCCCAGAAGCCAGGGTTGAACTCTGAAAGGCAGCCAGGCGGCTTGTGTTACCCGGAGCACAATGCAGCCACGACAAAAATAAACCAGGCGATAAAAATACAGCACGAGCAAAAAGATGTGGGCACGGAACAGGAATCGGTGCCACCGGGGGATAAGGAGTCCTACAGCCACTGATACTCTCACATGCACTCAAACATCCGCCTATTCGAGTCCCGATGTCCACAAAGACGGATCCATTGTCACTCTCCTGTTCAGAGCTGAGCACTCACAGATTATGGCTTCAAAGCCTAAAGACGCTTCCTGACATCAAATTTCCACTTAGCAGCTTCCAGACGCACAGAGCACAGAGAAGATGGAAGCTCTCACTTTACAGCAGGTACCAACACATAAAGAAACTTTTTTATTTCTTAAACACACAGTTTAAATAAACTTCACCTCAGTCGTGGCATTTAAAAGTCAAATGTGACAGGACTGACTTGTGTAGCTGACTGAGCAGGGCGCTCCTCTGAGGGGCTCCCTGAATGATGCTCCCAGCTCCAGGCTGAGCGCCTCAGTGCACTCTGTGCTTCTGCTTCCTCAGCAGAGCAGGAGAGGCTGGGGAGGACGTGAAGGAAGGGATTTAATCCTCCCACAGCTGGGCAAAAAGCTGAAGCTGTTCACGCCGTAGCCGTGGAGCAGCAGCACGCTCCAGGATTGAGCACAGGGTTGGGGAACACCAGGATCCCTTCTGTCAAGGGGTGGGGAGGCCGGGAGAAAGGACTGCCGGGCCCAGCAAAACGAATCCCCTCTTGCAGCCCATCATCCCGCTGAGGAACGAGCATTCTGCTCTTTCCAAAGGGAAGAATCGCTTCCTCCCACTCCCGCAAGGAAAAGCACCGCCTGAGGAGCACCGCCAGCTCCAGTCACCACCCAGCCGTGCCCTGACACAGGGAGGTCTGGAGCCCCGAACGCTCCCGGGGCTGTCCCTCAGCTCTGATCGGTCACCGGCATTTGTTCTGTGAGGGTCTCGCCCTCTTCTCCCTCAGGGACGGGAGGCACCCCCGGGCAGCCCCTCATCCCCTCCCCACGGCCAGGCCCCGTCCGAGGCCACCGCACGGCAAAACCTCCACCGGGGGCCTCTGCCAGAGCCGAATTCGGTGAAATTCAAGGCTCGGAGATGCGGTACCGGAGGAAGGGGGCCAGGACGGAGCTGTCCCGGGGGCTGGCTCCGGCCCCGAGCCGTGACCGCCCCGAACGCTCCGGGTGCCGCGACCCTGCAAGGGAGGGTGCTCCGTCCGTCCGTCCGTCCGTCCGTCCGTCCCCGGCTGTCCCCGCGGGCACGGAGCGGTGCCTGCCGCCCGCAGCCCGCCAGCGCAGAGAGAGCCCGGCACCGGCCGTGCCACACGCCGGACCCCGCGTCCCTGCCGTGCGGTGCCGGGCGCTGCCATGGCCGCGGGGCCCTCCCGGTCACCGGCTACTCCATCGGGAAACTTTTACCGCCGTATACCGGGGGAGGACGGACAGCCCGGCCCCGCTGAGGCCGCGGCAGCCTCCAGGTGCCGGCCGGGACCCGCCGCGGCCCGCGGGGGCCGTTCTGCGGTCCCGGGAGAGGCCCCCGCGCCGCACCGGCCCCTCCACAGAGCCGCAGCCGCCCCGCGGGCCCGGCCACCCCAGCTCAGCTCCCCTCAGGCCCGCCGCGGTTCCCGCCCCCACCGAGGCACGGCCGGGCCATCCCGGGGGCCGCCAGGTGTCGGTGCTCGCCCCGCCGCCCCCCGCCCGCCCTCAGCGCCCCCCGCCACGCACCGGCTGCTCCCGGCGCGGCGGCCGCGGCTCCCGCTGCTGCTGCTGCCGATGCCGCCGCGGCTCGGCGGCTGCCGTTGCCTACGGGTCGCTGCCTGCCGGCATGCCCGCGCGCCGCTGGCATAATCCCCGGCGCGGGCGGGCCGGGCGCGGGCAGCTCCTCGCCCGCCGGCGCTGCCGCGGCGCGGGGACGGCGGAGGCGGGGGAAGGCGAGGCGGGCGGGCCGCCGCAGCTGCGGGGGAGGAGGGAGCGGGGAAGGCGAAGAGCCCCGCACCGGCACTGCCCTTGCCCTGCCGTGGCACGGCGGCCGCGCGGATTTATCCGCCCGCCGAGCGAGCCGAGCCCCGCGCACCGGCAGCACCGGGAGCCGCCACTTCCTTCCCCGCGCCGCTCCGCGCTCCCTCAGGCGAGCGGGCGGGGTGAGGGCGCCGCCTGACGGCCGCGGTGAGGAGCGCGGGGCAGCGGGACCGCCCCGGCGTGCGGGGAAGGCGCGGGAGGAGCGGGGAAAGAGCTGGGAAAGAGCGGAGAAAGAGCCGGGAAAGAGCCGGGAAAGAGCGAGCGGATGGTGCGGGGATCCCCGGGCTGGTACCGCCTTCCTCCGTTCCCCCGCTCGCTGCCGGTAGCGGTGCCCTCAGCGAGGGTAGCGGCGCTCACCGAGCCCGCGCTCTGCCCTCAGCTGCCCTCAGAGCAGCGCTGGCGGCTCCTCGAGCTTCACTCTCCGCACAGCTCAGTCGGGAATAAAAATCTCAAAAAGTTCAGCGATCGTTTCATGCAGAAACCTCAGGAAAAGACCCTGCGGTGAAATTTACCGTGGCCTTTTAAACCTTTGTTAATTTCCTGCAGTTGTTTTTCATTCAGGATGCATCATGCCAGCCCTTTTCCCCCCTCTCTGCAAAGTACTCGCACTGTCTTTGTAACTGCTCCCTGCTTTGCCAGACTGAGTTTTAGTTCACATTACAGCCTAAACCTATCAAAGCTACAACTTCTTAAATTTGCTTTCTAGAGATGCGAACAAACAAATTTTATTTTCCAAAGTTCAAATTCAGAGCTGTAGGAGTTGAAATGTTTATTGTCATAGAGAAAAGTATGCTTGGGAGTGTCTTGCAAGGGCAGACTGAGGCAGAGCAGAGCCTGGGGCTCCAGGCAGGACCTTGTAGATCTGGAAAGGCGATAAACACCAACATAGCTGGGAGGTGTCAGGTGAAAACACGAGAGGAAGATGACTAAAGTCCTCCACAGAGGAAGCAAAAGCCTCTCTGATTATCTGAAAATCCTTATGCGATCTCAAAGAGAGAACAAGGCAATTTTCTGGTTAAGAGGAAGTTGAAAGGGGATTAAAAACAAAAGGACAATGTCCAGCAAAGGGCAGGGCCGGCAGGCAGTGAAGCTCCCTGTGTCCCAGTTTTTGGTGCTTCGGGTGTGATTTTCAGGAGCACTGAGCATTCAGGCCTCCCACTGATTTAATCTGGAACTGCAGAGCCTCTGCCCCTCGGATGAATCAGGCCAAAGGCACCACACTGCACAGGTCACACACATATCTCAGAAGGTTGGCCTAGAAGTTTACTCAAAGCAACACTTTTTCCCCTCCCTTCAGTGTTATAATAGAACAGAAATAGCCTAAAGAGCTCCAACAGATGGAGGAGGACTTTTGATTAAAAAATAAATTCTGACTCACAATTCAGCTTTCTGGATGTAATAAAAAAGAGTCCATGAATATGAATAGTGCTGGAGAGAATGGAGTGGAGATGAAGGGAGGTTACAAGGAGAGGCAGTCAAAGAGCTGAGCTGATTTACCTACTTGCCTCTCATGTCTGTCAGGAAAATTCTTTGGTTTTGCTGTAGCACTGATGAAAGAAAACAAGACCATTACTGGACTCATGAATTGTTCCTGTGATGGATTCCTTGGAAAAATCCTGCTGGCTGACTGATATTTCTGAAGAATGCTTTAAAATTGTACCTGTTAATAACAGAATAGTGGGAAAGCTGCAGCTGAATAGAGTTATACAGGGAAGAAAAGATTATTTTTTCCACCCCTCCACTCCTTCTAAGTAAAAATCACCAGTGAGAACATGGAATGCCATCAGAATTGTACATCTGTTTGTGGAGACTGTCCTCTCCAAGCATTCAGACCCAATTTCTGCATTTCAGAGTAAAGGAGAAAACAAGAAACTCCCATCCTTGACTTCTCCCCAGCTCTGATCTTGCACTGAAGTACCCACAGGGCTGCAAAAACTACAGAATTTCTGAAAAGACCATGCATGGGTTGTACAATTCCTCATCAAATATCTTAAACCACAGCACTCTAATTTTAGAATCAGACCTTCTCAAGCTTCCTTTATGACAGCTATTCTGGCCCTGTAATCACATCATTGGTGGCCAAACATCTTGAACAAGGGCAGAATTTGAAACACACAATATGATTAAAACCTACATTATCTCTGATGTAATATCCCAGAGCCTATTACTGTACTTGGGCAGGAGGAAAGAATCTAATTAAACATTTATTTAATATTAAAATACAAACCAAAATATCAATGTTGGACAGCAATGCAACAATATGTCAACTGGCAAATATATATTTTTTCCACCAAGAAAAATTAATTTATGTTCACAAATACATGAAATGTACACGAACAGATCACTGGCACAAAACCCAGCCTGGCACAGGGACCCAGTAACTTCAGGGAAGGAGTTGCAGTCCTGGAGTGTCAGCTGGAGCTGAGCTGTTCACTGGGAGGCAGGAGCTGCTGCCAGGTGAATCCTGGCACTCACAGTATCACAACACCCCTCACTGGCACTGCTGGGAGGCTTCACATCCAGCACAGAAGGATTTTCCTGCCCCAGCCAGCCACAGTGCAAGTATTGCTCACAGTTCTGTCCCAATGAGAAACACCCATGGAAAAGGTTGAAATTAAAAGGATTTACCACAGAACAGTGGTTCCCTTTAACACAGGTTAATTCATGTTGCTTTTTGTATTAAAGTCCAAAATCTCCTCTTGGCTAATATTTACATCACACCATAAATATTTATAAAATAGTGGAGGAAAACCAAGTGCAAAAGGGTAACACTACCATTTTTTTTTTCCTGAAAACAAGCTGCCTTTTCGTTTCTTATTATAAATTGAATATCACTATTTAAAAATAATTAATATTTCTAAAAATATTACAATACAGGATAAACATTGATTTCTCAGGTGTAACAAAATACGTTTAAAATAGAGGTGGCTGTTTGAAGTACAAAATATTGCTGTTTGTAAAGGGTAACATGGTTGCAAAACTACTTTTCAGGGTTTATAAAAATACAAAACAATTTGCATTTACTGAGTGCATCGTTATATATTAGTGCAAAAAAAAAGTATATTTGCAGTCAAGAGAGAACTGTCAAAGATTTGCAGAGGTTCTCAAAACATGAAATCTTTTCAGAGTCATTCGTATTAACCCCAAATCTCTGTTAATTCTTTCCAAACGATCTTCCAGGGCTTCCTAAAAGGAGGAGTTAAAAGAAAGAACAAAAAGCATTAATAATATATCATGAAATCCAATGATCCTTCTAAAATTAGGAAATTGCTATCATTCCTATATTCCTGGTATCTTTTTTGAGGCCTTAGCTGCATTGTTATCACCCAAAAACCAGAGCCAGACCCACAAACTTGTCATGTGATTTTTATGTATTTTTTGGCTTTTTTAACATATGACTTACAAAACTCCATGAGAGAAACCTGGCAAAAATTAAGACAAGCTGAATATTAGGAATATTAGGTATATTTAGGAATATTAGGCATGTTTAGGAAACAGTTGATCACTGTAGTAAGTAGCAGTATTGATTTACTGGAATGCACTTTTAATTTCAAATTGATGAATTGATAACAGACCCTGGGATCACAATTCAGGAAATGCTGATGTTGAAGGCTTTGCAGAGACCTCTATAAGACAACTTTGAGACTTGTTTTTATTAAAAGAGTCTGCAGAGTTTTCCACAGAAAGCACCTCCCTGTATTCCACCTAAACCAGTTATTTTTACCTTCTTACTTTGTACTTTCAAAGAGACAATATCCAATCAAACAAAAACTAAACTTTTCAATTTCTCCTACAGCACAACATCCTCTCTGCAGCTTCAGGGATCTATTTGATAGTCACTGCATTTTGTTAACGCATTGCCTTTATCTCCCTCTCAGTTTTAGCACAAGAACAGACTATTCTGGCAGTAATTTGGCAAAATGCATCCCATGTACAAAAAATAGAAGACATTAAACAATATAAAAACTCTAACATAAAAATTCCCACAGTAATCACGCTCACTACCCAGAGGATGTTTCCTCTACATTATGTATTCTCAATTGTGGAAGAACAGAAGAGAACAGTGATTCAGAGAGGCTTTTTCACCTGATTTAGTCTTGCTTGCAAGGTCATTCTTCCACCAGAACAAGGGATTCGGCTGAGTGCAGCCTCAATCTAATAACAGAAAACACTTCAGCTGTAAATTAGTTTCAAGAGCCAATATGAGCCTTCCTAAGTCCTCTTACAGAAGGAGAGGTGAGGTGTATGGATTACAGCTACATGGAGAGTTTTGTTCTTTAACACCATAATACTGTGCCAACCCCCACCTACACTGGGTTTGTTACAGGGACTCTCCTTTAATGAATTTAGGGACAGGGAAGGACAATGGCACATTCCTGATGTGACACTGAGGTTGTGGATGAATTTCAGCCACGCATTCCACGGATAAAAGGCTCCATCCCTCACCTCTCACAGAACAATTACTATTTGTCACAACTTGAAAACAGAAATAATCTTTGCCTGTTGCTTTTCGTGAGTCAGCTCATCAAAAAGCCTCTCGGTTTCAGCCAGAGTTGGAATCCTTGCTGTGTACTTGAAGTCTTCCTCACAAGGTGATTGCACTGCCTCATGTCTCTGGCTCCTCTCCTCCCAGGCTGCTGCTGCTTTCTTCATTCCATTACTGACAGATTCAGTACAGGGGCTCTGCCTGACACCTGAATGCTGCCTTCCTATCAACAGGACAGTGGAATAGTTCTATTTATTTTGTAATTACCTGGGAAATTGTTACACAGGACAGAAAAAGAAATCAATGGCAGCACAAGCAGTGTGGTTTTGGCAGTGCATGAACCGAGGAGAGGGAAGAGCAAAGCCTCAGTCCTTGCCTTGAACAGCTTCCCAAAGGAATGCAAAACATTTGTATGGGTCATCTTTCAAGGGATCTTTGAAACACAGCACATTTTTTGGTTAACAACCAGATTCCTGTGTTGTACTAATTAGGAATTACTTTTACTGGTACATTTCTAAATACCACCAAGCTGACTGGTTGTCATGCAAACACCAGTCTGAATAAGAGCATGGATAAAACCAAAAAGCAGAACATGGTGAGAAAAGATCAATAATTTCAATCATTTCAAAAAAATCTGAAACAACTGGTTTTATTAGTTACTCTTTGCTGTCCATAATGCAAAGTTCAGTAATAGGATTTTATTAGTCTGACTCAGTGTGTACATCTTAATATAGACCCCCACTAGGATATATATTGGATAAATGAGTTAAGCACAGGGAAATGTATTGCCCTTCTTACTCAATTTAATTATTTTTCTTGTTCCAGTGTGTTTGTGCACACACACATATACACAAAAATAAATTATTTTATGGACAGGATTTCTCTGTCTACAGGAATAAGGCAAGATTTAGAGGATTTTTAAAAGTTGGGCTTCAAAGAGTAAAGAGTCAGCTTTCTAGTTAGGCAGCTACTACCACAGTGGAAAGAATCATGGTATAAAAATAAAGAACAATTTCCCTCCACTTTGACAGATTACCTTCTGCATCATCTAGTGACTGAAATTGGAGCCTTTTCCTTGGATTATTGTGCTGTAAAGTAGAAGTAGCACCAGTTTCCAGGTCATCTAGAAGTATATCAAACCTACAGAGGAGGAAGCACACAGCAATTACTTGGTAGAAGTCAGGTATCAAGCAATACATTCTTTTCTACTTTTTCACCTTTTGGGTGAATAAAAACCATTTTTTTAGAAGACTAAGTCTTCTAAATCCTGTTCAATCATTCTAGATTCTCCTGGCCAGATTTTAAAAAGTAAACTTAGCTTTATATTCAGAAATCTTCCCAACTCATTTTCAAGGACATTTAATGAACAAGAAACAGCAGCATTAAGCCTGGATAAACATCCTGCTGCTCTAAAAATGATCAGAACACAACTGTATTCACCAGACTCCTACCTTGTCACTGTGTTTTCATTTCTGCTGAGCAAATGGCTAAATCCAGGAGAGAGGTTTTCCTTTGGAGATCGTTTTGGGCTGTATGTCACAGACACTGGTGCCAACATTATCTCTCTTCTTGCTGCAAAAGACAAAGTATGTTTATGTACCTCAGACTCCCCAGTGCAGTACCTCCCACTCATGTGCTTGCAGCTTAAAGAGTGCTCTTCAAAGCTGTCTCCATGTTTATCTACATTAGATGAGAAGTGCATCACAACATGCAAAAATGAAAATAAACTTAGAACTCTCACATATTCCGTGATTACAGACATGAATTTTTTCAGACTGCCAGAACAATGCAGAAACCCTGTCCCTATTTTTGCATCTTCTAGAGCAGCCTTTCATGATTAGATTCTGCTTTTTGAGTGACACAAAGCAAGGCTGAGCAAGGCACTGACTGGGAGTGCTGGATTTCCTGTTGGCAGGAGGAAGGGACGATGACCTCTGGCCAGAGGGGGAGCTGAACCGTTTGGGTCTGTGCTGGTCTCTCCCTTTCTCTGGAGATCTGTTTGCAACCAAGGAAGGTTCAACAAACCCCACAGTCTGACGTCGAGTTGATGGTTCTAATGAAAAGAAAAAAAGTTCTTATGTTAATCAATATTTTCAACACAAGAAATCACAAATATTCCCCCGAACTGAGCTTTTTATCCCTCACATCAACGTTATTTTGCTGTTCTGCTCAAGTCTCTCTTCCTACTCACAGAACATGAAATTCATGTTTCATTTAAGTCATGAAAAAGGATCTTTGCAGTGTGTGAGGGAGAAATTACGCTGAGTAACACTGTTTAACAGAGAAACAGTGGAAATCAGGACAAAAGCATCTTTTGGGAAAGGCTGAAGGACCTGTCTGAGGTCCAGAACACAAGATTTTAAGAAAGACTCAGCGTTTTCTCTAAATCAGCATTGTTACAGCTCAGGGCAGTCCCAGTTCCTCAGTTCCATTCCCATAAACACCATGGAAACTGGAATGGATTTACAGCAGCCAGACCTTGTTAGGACTCCATTAACTGGTTACAAATACTGAGATATTCTTAGAAAAGGGGACATTAACTAGTCCTCAGCTTGAGACCTAACCACAACCTCTGCATTCCCCCTATTCTAAACAAATCACTAAGATATCCAACTTTGAATTTTCTTAGGAAAACCCCACAAGTTTTGCATGCCGAAACCTCTTTTATCCCACCACTGTATCCTGATGGACTTGAATGCTGAGAATACCAAAGCCAAAAGACATGCAAACAGAGAAAAGCCAGTAAAGACACATTCAGGAATATAAAAATAAGAGTTACTAGCTGGTGCATCTTCTTTTTCTGTCTGTGTACCCCAATCTTTAAGAATTTTTCCTTCTTCAAGTTCTTTAAAGGCTTTTAGAATTGGTGCTTCTGCCATCTCATTTTCTTTCTTTCCTATTGTGTTGGTTGAAGAGTCTTCCTGTGAGGAGTCTTTCTCAGGAGGAGAATGGTGCCTTGAATAATGTGAGGTGTGGAAGGAAAAAAAAAATAAATCAAGTTTTTTATTTTATTTCATATACCCAAACATGAACAGAATAAACAAAAAGCATGGAGAAATTCAGTTCAGATTTTAGTTTAGTTCAGGAAACCAACTCACCTAGAAGGAATATAGGTTTCTTCCAGCCTGTTGTCTTTGGGGCTCTCCTGGCCCTCCAAAGGCTGCCCAGTGAAAATGGAATATTCAGCTCCTGGTATCAACCACTTTCTCCTGCTGACATCTGGAGTTCCCAACTTGCTGTGGGAATAAAAAGCTTCAAAATTATTAAAGGCTTTGGAGTTTGGGAGGGGGGGTTTATGTTTGCTTCTGTTTTGTTTTTTAAGAAAAACCTGTGATTTATTCCAGTAAACAGAAACAAATATACAATAAACTTGTAAATACTGTGGGAAAAGTAACTGCTTTTAAAAACATGCTTGAAAGGTAAAAATAGAATATTTGGGGAAAAAAAAGCTATATGTTGAGGTTTCAGTCTAAATTACACAATATGCTCAGAATGCAGAGCTCCACAAAGATCTTTGTGTAATTTAATGCTGCTTACTCAGACCCAGGTTTGGGTTGCAAGTAGATCTCAACTAATTAAATGAAAACATTTGGTGGAGATTACTGCAGTGCTTCAGAGCATCTGATCCCAGCTTTCCTTTGGACAACAATTATTAGAAAAATAAAAAAGAAAAAACAAAAAAACAAGAAAAAGCCAGTGTTGGTGACCTGAGAGGGATAAATATCAACTAAGTATCAATTAGTAGATCATTATCTTGAGATAGCAAAAGAAAAATCTGATTTCTATAGACAAGAAAGCAGATAATTAGGAAAAAAGGGATTTGTTTACCCAAGCTATGAACTATAGGCACAATTCTGTAAATCTTTCCTGCTGGGCATTCAATTGGAATGAGCTTTCCTTGAGCCTGTGGGATCAGTTAGGGACAGATTAACTCCTAAATCCATATTGGCTCCTACATCCCCCCTCCCTGATGAACATGGGCTGCCATGTCCAGGCCTTCCTTTTTTCTGTTCATTAAAAGAGCTCTAAACAGAAATCTGTCCCTTTAATATATTAATACATAAATATTTCTGTCCTCATAATCATCAAAATTCAAATCTCCCCAAGATACACCAAATGGACATCCCCAAACCACATTAATTGTCATTTTGGGCTCCACAGCATCAGTGCTGAGATGGGAGAGACCCTGAACAGGCCAGGGGGGGACAAAGCTTCTTAGACCTTTCAAGTGTAATAAAAAAACCTCAAACAAACAAAAGCAGAGCACAGATCAACTTGAATTTCTTTAACAGAAATCCCAATTCAAAGCAGAGTGTTCATTCTGACTGAACTGCCCCTCTACTCTCAGGTTACCTGCACAAATCCTATTTAGAACCACACTGAGCAGGAATCAGCCTTTCAAACCAATGACACACAAGGAAAAGCTCCAATGCCTAACTGGACTATCAGATGGAATTCCCAAGATCTTTGTGGAGTTGGGAATTCAGCTGAGCAGTTCAGACCCAGCAAACACTCCTTTGGGAAGAGCAGGGACAGCTGGCCAAGGCAGAGACACATTAGCAGAGAATTCAGTTGGATTTATTAATTTCTTGGCACATCCAATCTCTGGATTACATCACATGTGTTTAATCCAGTTCAGCCCATGGACTGACCTCATCTTGATCCATTTTTAGCCAAAACATGTTAAAAGCTATTCTAAAACACGTTGTTTTCATGTCTTAATGGTCACTTACTTGGCACAAGAGGTTCTTGTGAAACGATTTTCACTTATATGGCGAAGTTTCAGGGCATTTTCATGTTCCACCTGCTTGAGCTGAGCTTCAAGTTTTAAAATTGTCCTTAAAAAGATGCATTAGGAGATGATTTAAATAGCATAAAAGAAACATCACATTTCTTAATAGTTTAGCTCATTTTATTCAGATATTCTGGATGAAGCAGGAGAACAAGAGCAACTGCTGCATTTCTGTCTATGCACCTCTATCTAAATATGGATATAAATATGTATTGGAATTTGAAGTTAAATAAATCAGGTAATCTGGCCAGAAAGACAGGACCAGACAACATTGCTGAGGAAGGAGAGAAGTAGAAAAAAATGCATATCCTAAATTAATGAGATTTTTAGTTTGTACCAGTAGCATGAAGCAACATGAAATGCTTCATAAAATGTGATTAAACTTGAAAGATCTACAGCCCTCACACTCTGGGAGTAGACATTTAGCCCACAGTTTGTATTTCATATTGTTAAAACAATAATAAGTTTCACAGTTACCTTTTCAAATCAGAAATCTCTGTGTTTGCATCAAGCAATTTGTTTTCAGTTGTATTTAATGTATCCTACAAGGATAAAAAGAAAAATGTAAAAAGTCCAGAAACTGCAGAAGTGCATTAAATAAAACCCAAGTAACTCCACATCAGTCTTGGAAACAACACATCAATTACACCTTCCTAGTTCAAAGGGTCCATTAAATTTCTTCAGCTTTGACTTTGCAGTATTTTTGCTGCCTATGACTGAAAAATAACAAATTCCAGTTTCCTTCCTTTTCCCTCCAGGACTCTGAAGAAGAAAGTGATCAGTAAAGATAAATATGGATCTTTCTGTTTGAGCTTTTTCAAAATATTTAAGTTAATTCAGCCAATTCCATGGAATATTATCACAAAGTTTGCATGTTTGGGTTTTTAATTATCCACTGTGTGCCTACCTTTACTCTTTCATGTTCTTTTCCAAGGGATTCGTATTCTCCTAAAAGCTAAAACAAAACAAAAGAACACCAGCCCACAGTGAGACCACAGTCAATTAACAGTTTTGTTGGCTGCTGTAAAATCATCTCAACAGCTTGGCTAACACATGCAGAAGCTCTACAGGGGATACAAAATGTACTTTAATAGTATTTGTTAAGTTCTTTTTATCATCTTCCAATTGGAACAAAAAGTTATAGACAGGACAAGAGGAGACAGAGCTACTTATACAATGTATTTCTAATTTTCAAATTATTTGTCTCTAAAGAAACTGAATGAATGAACCACTAAGGTTCCTCAGTGACTTTAAAAGTGAATTTGTCTTTTGAAATTTCAACTCTAAAAAAGAAGTTAAAGCATGAAGTAGCTTTTCCAGCTAATGCCCATTCTGCCAGTCCATTTAAACATTCCATAAAGCTCTTCCTAAAGAATCAGAGGAGCAATTCCTTAGATTCAGACTAAAATCATGCACAATGAACAGTTTTAGCAAGTTGAGATGAGGCATGAAAAGTTTAGTCCCTCTCAAACAAGCTTAAGAGAGGAAAAATTATTTTCTAAAATTTCATGTTGTATCTTCAACCTACAGTAATAAAATTCCTGAGACAGACTATTGCAAAGATTAGCTTATCAAGTATACACTTGCTGCCTAAAATAATTTTTTTTAAAGTATTTTTTAGGTCCACAGTGCCCTCCAACACCCAGCCTAGTAAGGAGTCAGCTGAGGAATTCCTGTTTTCTTGTTGTGCCTTAAGACTTCCCAGCTGTAAACTCCGAGTCTTTCTCACACCTGGACTTGCTGTCATCCCCCTCCCAGCACCAAAACCCATTTCCTTACTCACATTTTGGAACATTCTGTTTTCTTCCTGGAGCCTGGTGTTTTTATTGTCAGATAGCTTGTAAGCCTTCTCAAAGGCCTCCTCGAGCTCCCTGAGGCGGGACTGCAGGCGGCTGATGGCGTTGTCCTTCTCCTTGTGGCTCGCGCGCATCTCCTCCAGCCGCTCCTGCAGGGCCTTGGAGCTGTCACTGAGGGCACAGAAACGCTCCCTCCAGTCTGCCTGCAGGACACAAAGCATCCTTCAGAGTCTTTGAAACGTTCTTTTTCCCTGGCACATTAATTATTTCTAAGATTATTTAAATTTCAATAATTATCTTAAAATCGCCTGCACAGAAAACAAGGGTACGCCTTTACATGAACTGAACAAGATTTTTGCTCATTTCTGTGACTTGGAAAGAATGAAAATGAAGACTAAACCCACCCAAAATGTATTTATTTTATAGGATTTTAAATATCTAGAGGTGAGGCCTCCAATCCATCTGATTAACTTACTTCCCAGCATAGGTAAATGCCTAAAGAAGGTGGAATTAGTCTCTGCAGGGGTCTAACTCTGATGACAAAGTTCAACTGTCATGACAAAGTGTCCTGAGTTTTGACTAATAATAATTAGTTGAATAATAATTAATTGATTTGACCAATAATTAATGCAGCTATGCATTAATTTATGCACAAGCAAACAGGTCTGGCCCAGCTAGAAAAACTGCAAATATACCTAAAGAGAGTATTTTTGCCCCAGCATAAGTGAGATTTCTTTTATCACTGATCTAATAAGAAAGTAATTAAAACAAAAGAAAGATAGAAAGAAAATTTAAAGAAGAATGGGATAAACACATCACAGTATTTCACTCTTAGACTTTGATCCCTGCTAATTTGGAAAAAAGTTCATGAGCAACAGTGATGATGGTTCAGGTAGGGAATCCTAAGAAACTCAGGTAGGAAAGTCACTGTGTAACATGTGGACTGATGTTATATGTCGAGGGAAAGGTTGAAAGGTTAAAAGTAACAAAAAAAAGTATTGAAGCACTGGTCAACTTATTAATGAAAAAGTTCATTCTTTTACCCTTTTACTTAAAAAGCAACTTGATCTAATAACAGATACTTACCACTTGCTTTTCTAGCTGATTATTCTTATTTTCAAGGGCTTTTATGTGAGCACTTGCTTCATTCAGAGCTGAATCTAACTGGTCACACCTGCTTAGAACATAGAGATTACACCAAGATCTTGAAATTTTCAAATAATAAACCTACATTTTATAGCCTTATTCCCTTCCTCAAGCATCCCCACAAATTTTGGTGCCCAGCCTTGATCTCCTCCCACATTTTTCAGCCCCAGCAGTGTCTCTGCTCAGAAGGGCTGTGGTGGCCTGGGAATACATAAATTCTGTGCAGTATTTCAGCTGTCTAAATGTGCAATATGTGTTTTAACTGGCAATAATTATACAGAAATCACATCAGCATTCTCTGTACAGCAAACACTCGAGCTGTAGATAATGGAATGCACAGCTGGGGCACCCAGACCCCAGGGTAAAGGCACCAATGAACTCAGGACTGCTCCTGTGTCACCATGGAAGGTACAGGAGGATGATGTTCACCAGCATGACAGGAGAGCAGAATCTTCCCAACACAAATCATTCCATTACAAATTGCTCAGACCTCTGCCTGCCAGCCATTCCTGAGAAAGCTTGCACTGGCTCCAGGAAAAAACAGATCAAACAAGAACTGAAGTCCAAACACCACATTTACTGTCCAACAACAGTGAACTGATCTCCACAGAAACATGGAATAGTTTGAGTTGGAAGGGACCTTAAAGCTCATCCAGTTCCAACCCCTCTGCCAAGAGCAGGGACATCTTCCACAGGATGAGGCAGCTCAGGGCCCTGTCCAACCCCTTAGCCAGGGATGGGGCAGCCACAGCTTAGCAACTGCATTAAACAATGCAAAATTTATATTTAACAGGGAAATATTAATATCATAGAGACATGAAATCTTCAGAACTGAAGAGGGACATAAACTGTTTGAGACACTCCAAACAAGGATACACAGTCTTTAAAATATACAGAGCACCACCTAAAGAGAAAGACAGGAAGGACAAACAGTACCTGTCAGCAAGGCTCTGATTGATTTTCTTCAGCTCCTCAGATGCAGCAGTTCTGTGGCTGGACTCCAGCTGCTGTTTCAGGCTCTGGATCTCAGAGTCATAGTAAGCTCGTAGATCAGCGATGTGTCGGGCGTGCTTCTCCCTCAGGCTCTGCCTAATCCTATTTTCAATATAGGAATTGTAGAAAATTCCAGCCATCCACATGATCATGTGGATTAATTTGTGGATTCTGGATTCATTTGGACATAATGAACTCAGCACATAAATGTCTCTTACAAAACTCTATTTGCATTCAACCTAAAGCAAAGACAGCTTTGTCATCTAAGGCAGAGAAGTCTTCATATTAATAGAGATAAATATTATGATTATTATATACAAATACATACAGGTATATAAGTATATATACAGGTATATATGATTATTATATACAAATAAATATAAAAATACAAAATAAAGCTTTACTTTTTACAAGCCCTCATACATGGAATAAATGCCCTGTCTGCTTGTCCAGTACAAATCATCAGAGCTTCAATAGCGAATGGAGGATATTTATTTTTCCTAAGCACAGTAAATTCTGTGCAGCTCTGCATTTGATTCTAAAGAGGAAAAAAATCCCCCTTCTCAGAACTTTGAAATTCTCTGCCTAAATGGACTCCCTCACACAGCCTATGAGAAAGGATGTATTTTTATTTTTATGTATAAAGAGACACGACCAAGAGAACTCACATATTTTGTTTGGCTCACTATTATTGTTTCATTCCTTTCATGAAAGCACCAAACTTTTGACTTTTAAAAAAGAAAAAGTTACTTACTTTGACATTACCACAGGATCCTCAAGAGATGCCACTGAAAGGCTGCAATCTGGCAAACTGCTGTCAGCACACTGAGTAAGAGAAGATGGAGTTAGAGTCAGTGTTTCTTCCTCTTCAGTGTTGACAGAATGGTCATTGTCAGCATTCCTGGGAGCCACTGGGAAGGGAGAGCTGGCCCTGTGTTCACTCTGGAATGGGTGATTTCTCCACAGGTCCAAGTGCACAGCTCTGCTGCTGGCAGGGTGTGTTGGAGAATCATCCAGCTGAGGTGAATGACTTGTCTGTGAAAAAGAGTCTGTGTCACAATGACTTGGAAATCCGGGCTCTGCCATAGAGTCTGGAGAAAAGGGAGCAGAGTCTGCAGGAGTCCTGGAAAAACTGAGTCCCTGGTTCTGCTGGCCTGGCTTCATATGCAGGGTTGGGTCCAACGTCAAAATCTAGGAAATAAGTTACAATGCTAAAAAAATTGTGATTTAACTCCATTTACAAGAACAAGATTTATCTCAAGGCATCAATAAACCATACACCATACTGTAAGTATTATATTGAATATTATTACAATCATTTGGAAGTGACAAATAAAATGTCAGTTCTGCAACACTGTAATGACAATACACATTCCCAATAACAATACACATTCCCAATAATTGCAAACTGAGTTTCTAAGTTTCCATTAATAAAGGACATATCCAAGATCTGTAGCTTTCTAGAAAACCTCTGAAATTTCAGTTATGCAAGTTGAAAGATTTTTGTCTGTGTGTTGAAACAATAACCTTGCAGGGTTACAAAAGCATTTCATTAATTACCTAAACAGTACAGTCACACAGCAGCCACCATCCCTGGGTTATGTACAGGACTGAGAGCTATATAAAAAACAGGTATGAGAAAGAATCATTTCCACAAGCTGTGCCTGTTCTGTTCCATGGGTGGAACAGACCCTGGCACTGCAGTTCCAGGTGCAGCTCAGCAGCTGCAGCCCCAGCAGCAGCGGATCCGTCCCTGCCGCATCCTCAAGGCTGTGCAGCAAAGGTTCTTCCCTGCTCAGGCTGTTCCTGGAGGTTCCTCCAAGCTGGATCCTTTCCCAAGCTGCTCAAACTGCTGTTCCAGCACAACACTGGAGGTGGCAGCAGGGGCCAAGCCGTGTGAAACCAGCCCAACACATCCTCAACTGATCCGTGAATAAAGAAATTGATGTTACCTCTGGTGGGTGACTTGGCTGGGAAGAAGGCATAAAACTCTGGTCTGGCAGCTGCTGCTTTTCCCTTTGTCTTTTATGATAAATGTCCTTCAGTGATGACAACTTCCTTTCATCAGCAGAAGACAACTTCAACAGGCAAAATTGCTACATTACTTTTTCTGAACACAACACTCCACCCCCAACAAAGATAAGCAAGTTCTGGGGTGGGTTTAGCTAATAAAGCAGCTCAGAACACACAGCTTCATTCAAGCTAAAAAAGGGTTTCTAACAAGGCACATACACCTTTAACATACTAATTAGACACTTCTCATCTTCTATACACAGCTCCTTTTGAAGGACAAAAGGTCAGTAAATTTCAAGGGAGGTTAGTGGGGTGCAGGGATAATGAAGAGCCAGGATATGAAAGACTGAGATAACAAAAGGGTTCTTTCCATCACAGGCAAACAGCAAAGACAAAAAGCAACTACATAATAACTTTTAAATGTGTACAAAGTTTACCTGAACTGGTGATGTTTTCTCCACAAAAGTATCAGGCAACTCACTTCTGAAATTCTCTGGTAAAGTGTGATACATCTCCTTTTCATCTAACTTCCAGTATGAAAGTCCTGATGAAAAAAAATACCAGATGAAAACTAATTCTACAGATTTCAAGCTGGCAGCTATAGAACAGGAATCCAAAACCCATTAGTAAAATGTTATTTGGTCAGTAACAAGAATGGTACAGTAGTTATTTGCATTTATTGCTCAAGGATGTCATTAGAACATTTGTTACCAGGCCAGGAGTTAGAAAAATCTCAATGCAAAGCACAGGCAACATAATCAGTCTCACATCATAAAGCACCAGGGACAAAAGCTATAAATCAGTTAAAACACATAGATTTGGTGTTCAAGGGGCAAATCCTCATTTACCATGAACTTACATTTCTAACGATTCCAGTATAGCACTTAAAACTGGCACCACCCAAGGAACAATCCCACCTGCTATTACAAACTCTTCACTCTGTGCAGCAGGCAAAGACAAACTACCAGGACTAAGAGGGATGGCACAAGAGGAACAGACACAGCCTCAATCCCACTCCAATCTCTTAAATGTGTCCCTCTCTCAGTGGCTTGTGAAGAAGCAACAATTATACACAGTTTGCAGGCCTGCATCTCTGTGCCCCTGTTTGTTACTGAAATGAATCCACCCTGTTATGATCAAAATATGTGAATTAGTTGTCTGGCTTTGATAAAAAACCCCAATAACCACAACCCCCAAACCCATACAAATCCACCACCAACCACCCCTCACACACACCCCCAAAACAACAAAGCCAAACCTTACCAAAACACAAAAAAGCAACTCTCCCCCAAATTAAAGAATCACCAGGTTACACACTGCATTATTCTGTTCTTGTCTATTTACTCAGTTATAGAATCATGCCCTTGGCTTAAAGGAATTCTGCCTCTATTACCATGAACTCCTGTAATTACCACACCATTGATGCTAATGTTTCCTATCCTACCATGATATTAACAGTAATTCCATTATGAAACAGCTTTAAACACAACGTTCAGCTTTGAAATGCTGAGAAATTTGGAAAAACATCCCAACTGCTGCATGTCCTACATCTGCCAGCAGCAAGACACAGGAGCTGCCATCAGTTTGAAAACAGGAGCAAGAAGCAGAATTAATGCTATAGCAAAGCCTGTCAGTGCTTAAATCCTCCTCACCTCCCTGAAGTTATTGGAGATGCATTCCAGTAAGAGTTTTAAAAAGGAGAATTTAAAAGAAAGGGAATTTATGTACAAGAAATTAACTATACCTGAAGCTTCTGACACTACAGAATTTGGACTTTCTTTGGGTTGATTGAGGTAAAAAGTGTATGGTGGCGAAGCAGCATCAGTAAGGTTTGTCTAAAATTACAATGGAAAAACAAATTCAGAAGGAAAATCACGAGGCAAGGAAAAAAAAAGCAAAGGTATAATGTTTAAAATTGCATACAAATGTTATTCGTCTTTTTAAGCAAAGACATTAAATACAATTACACAGCATGATCCAAACCTACAGAATTTATATTGAGGGTAATCATAGCCAAAAGTGGAACTAAGCTAAGCCACATAATTAAACTGATGTTTCCTAAGACGTGCCTGTGTTTTTGTCCTGAGCAAAGTGGTTAATGCCTTAACACACAAAGAATCCTGTGTGCCAGAAGAGGCATCATCAGCTGAAATCAAAGATCCTTCAAAATTACAGGACACAATAAATTGCCATGACCTGAAGCCTCAGCTGAGAGTGTGGCCATTATCTCTACAAGGAGAGAACATGTGCCACTCAGGGAGGTGTTAAGACAAAAATTAGGTAATGAATAAAATAAACCAAAATAGCTCTGTGCCTAAGTATGGAATGATCCAAAAAGTAAACTTTGCCCACATGAACTTTAAATATGAATGGGAACTCAAATGCTTAAAATATGAAAGTATATGCTGAATGAGAACATGCTGTAACTCTGAAAAAATACCAGTTCCAAGAATAGCATTAGAAAAACATAATGAATTAAAAAGAGACTTACATTGTCAAGTGGTAATCTCTTCACTCTCTCATTTTCTTGCATAGAGTTCACACATCCTTCATCTGCAGTTACTCTTTTTGGTTGGGTTTGTTTCAACTTTTGTGCCCATGATGTTAAAGATTTACTGGATGGTAAGAAACACACACATATATTTAGGGGAAATACATTAAAGCGTATCTACAACAGCTAAACACTGGAGATGCAGACCTGCATCACTCAGAAACATCAAGCTAAATAAATATATTTATCTATCAAGCAGCAGAACATCCAGAGGTTCCATTCAACTCAGACATGCCCCCAGTGACCAGCAGCTTTTACTGAATGGGGATCGTCTATAATAAATTACCATAATTAGAAAGTTTATCACTTACCTGGCTTTTTTCCCACATGGATGATCTTCATCAGCTTTATGCTCCAAGCCAGCAGGAAAGACCAAGCTATCCCCCCTTGCGGATGGAGGACTCTCCTCTGCTGTTTGTGCTGGCGGCTCTCCCTGGCTCTGAGGGCCGCCCCCGTGCAGCCGCGGCCCGGGGGGAGGCTGTGCCGGGCAGGGCCCGGGCAGGGCCGGGCTCGGCTCGGCGGACAGGGAGCCGTAGCCGCTGTTCATGGAGCTGTCGCTGTTCACGGAGCCCTCTCTGGCCGCACATCCCCGCGGCAGCCCCGCGGCCCCGGCCGGGCTCTCCCCCTCTCCGGCTGCCAGGTGCCTCCCCAGGCTCTCCCGCTCCTCCAGCGCCTCCGAGCACATCCCCATGGGGCCGGGCAGGGAGGGCACAGCCCGGCCCCCGGCCCAGCTGCTGCTCTGCAACCTCACCAGCTGCTTTATCTCATCCTGAATCAGCTGCACAGGGGGGGAAAAGGGACAATTCCCATCAGATCCTGCCTGAAGTCACACCCCTGTTTAGATGCATCTTCCATTCGTGTTATTAGCGGGAGATTTAGAGTATTTATTCCATATAGCTCCAAGTTTTCATGTGCAGACATCTCATGCATAAAGTAGATAAATACATACTGTGCATAACAGTAAATATAAATAAAACAGTAAAAAGAACAGTAAAATGTCCATGGGAACAATCCTGAATTCCATGCAGTGAATTACAAGTCTCGGTAGTCATTTATTCATGTAAAAAACATGCATGAATGTATCACTAATTACCTCAGAACTACAGTTACCTACCGACCTGCTAAAGAAATACAAACTATCCAGGTGTTGGGCTAAATTTAGGTCTGAAACACTTTTTCACTTGGATACACATTTTTAAAGACTGCAAGGATGCTTTGATGGAAGAATTAACCATTACTCTATCATGAGAATAGGAATAATGTACCTCTGCAAGATTATTGCATAAAACTCAACTTTAAAACACCCAATTTGGATATTATGCTGTTAGGTTCAAATGGTACAAAGTTCTACCTTCTGATTGTTTTGGTGGCTGATGGAGTGGAGCAAACCCAAAACTGCATCACTACATTTAACAGGTCACTTTCTCTTTACTCTACAAGACTTATTTCAATATATTAGGTCAGTAATTTTTGAAGTTCTAAGTTTTACAGCTGTGCTCTGGAAATACTGAAACAGCTCTGAGAAATAATTAATGCTTTTGCCAAGGGCTGTGAAGAGATTTCACATTTGCGCCTGTGGCCAGCACTTCTGCAGAGTTCAACTGAGATTACTGAACTGCAGGAGTACACAACTCTTGCACATGACAGGACAGAGCACAGAATTGTTTTCAAGAATATATTTCAAACTAATTCCCTCAGGAAAGGAAGAAGGAAAAAACTTGCAATAATTTTAAGAACATGGAACTTGTGTTTTTTCACAGAACTACAGTACATTACTCACATGTGAATAGCAACTGGAGAGAACAAATTGAACAAAAATGATTTGTTCTCTCAAAGTAAGAAATAAAAAAGAATACTTAATTTCAGAGGAACCTACATGTAATGCTAGTCAGGATCAAGCCTCAGATTTTTTATTAACTTGTAACAGAACAAACAACTGAATTTCAGTTCAGCCTTTCCCTGCCAAAAATAATAAACAAACAAAAAACTTGGGATGAATTTCCTTCCACTACAAAGTTTTGTGTTCTGCTAATGATTTCAATCATGACTGCAGCAATCATTTGTATTTAAGTTCTGTAATCCAGCTGTCAAGAAGGTAGGGAAGGGAGAAAAGAAGGGAAAGAACAGAACTGGAGTGGGGGGAGAGAAGATCAGATTCACTGCTGACATTCAATCTTTGTCACTAATACCCTGTGCAGGAAAACTGAAAGGCTCCTATTCCAATTAAATTGCTTTTTTACCTCTTTTTGCACAGTCAAAAATGACTGCAAGAGATGAAAAAAAAAAGGGAAAAATAAGATGTGCTTTCTACAGTTTTGGGATTGTAATTTTGGTTTTATAATCTCTTTGATAAAGTCTGATCTTGGGATGATCCAGCTTGTCCCTGGCACAGTTATGGTTTTTTGTATAGATCACATAAGCCAAGGGCTGCCCCCACTGATTCCAGAAGGAACTCAAGGGTTTTTATCCCTGTTCTCACAAGGATGGAGATTTTTATGTAGTTGGTCTTGAAACCCAGCATGGAGCAAACCTTATCTCAGAGTCATGTCAGTGCTGATCCAGCACCTTGCTTTTCTACCACAAAAAGCAAATTCCCATCTATTTTATTTACTGCATAAATAGCTCAGTTCTAGCTGCTGATTCTGTGTTTAGTGTGGCACCCCGTGCAGTGAGAAAGCCCTGCTGACCCTCAGCTCTTCCAGAGGTAGCCTTTCCTATTAAAAAAGACAAAAACCAGCAAAGCCAACACAATGGATTAGTAAAGACCATGATCAGCAACAAGTGAATCAAACCACTACAGTAAGAGGAAGGAAAAACAAGGGTAAGGAAACAGGGAAATAACAAGATGGGAGGGAGGGGGAAGGTGAGGCAGGAGAAACAGCAGATAGGATAAAAGGACAGTACCTCTTGGTAATTCAGTTCAGGAACTGCTGATTACTACTAGTGTGGAGGGCATCAGGAAAGGGAAGGGAAAAACAGCAACCAAAATGATGAAGATATTAAGCATTATATAATTATAGTTTCATTGTCTGTTATATATACATATACATTGCTTCTGTTCTAATGGATAAATAGGTTCAGCAAAAATATGAACCTTCACAGGGATTGTTTTTCATTCTTAGAAAAGAAACTCTTCAGTTGAAGGTGAGATAGGTGTTCAGCTATTACAGTGATGGTTTTCCTGGGCTAGATACTCTATGGATGAGGGGATGATAAGCTGTATATTTTTTTAAATGAAAATAAAGCTATATTGTCTCAAAATCAGAAATTATACAGTCTAACAGTTCATAAAAACCTTGTGCCTACAAAATACCATTATCAGGTGAGCATTCTGAACCAAATGTTTGTGAAAACAAAATAATTGAAAACAAATAATCCACAAATCACTCCTGAAATGGTTCCTAACAGTTGCTTTGTTAATTAACCAAGGCTGTCTCAAATATGCTCCCTTTAAACAGCATCCACTGCCATTAACTGCCTCTCTGCATTGTTTTGGAGGGAGAAAAAAATAATTAAGCTTTATCAAGCTCCATGAACAGTCGTTACTTACTTGGATTTGATGGTGGAACTGCTCTTGCTGGGCATTTATTTGTTCCTGGCATTGTTTTTCTACCAGTCTCAGAAGCTGTATCCACCTTGTCTGTTAAATCACAAAGTGCAATAATTAAAGCACAGAAATATTGCACCTCTTACCTTTTCTCTGGCTGCAAACAGCTTTGCAATCCTGTCCCTGGGTGTTGGCATAATCCAAAGTTGAGGAACAGCACTGTGGGTGCCCATCCCACAGCACATTCAGCCCCCACCATGCCAATCACTGGGAACCAAAAGTAGGAACAACTGCCAGCAAAGAACAGTCAGATTCTGGAAAGGTTGATTCCACTTCCTTTAATTACAGGCAATTCTAAAATTGAGAATTAAACACCCTTCAGTAAGAAACTCCTCCACCCAGCAATCCAGCTAAAGGCCAGGATGCATAATTATGTCACGGAAACTAAGAGATAATTTTTTAAAAGATCAAATACACAGCATTCCTGAAACATGGCAAAATCTGATGTTTAAAAACTATTTTATGTTAATGTTTATGGAGCTGGTGCTTGAAGCACAGGGCACGGGACACACATCAATATTCTGTTCCTGGAGGTGTTAAAGAGAACCCAAATTAAGCATCTGTCAACACACACTTGGATGGATCCCAGCCAGGGAGCTCCAAAATCTGCAAGAACAAGCCCATGGTGGGCAAAACTGATGCTCCTTATGATAACCAAATATACCGATAAAATTGAAAATACAAAGGACAAAAAAATTCCAAAAAGCGTTTGGGAGAATTAGTTCATTGAAACTACATCATTATTTTTGCATTGGTTTAAATCTGGAAACAAATTAATCACCTACACATCTTTACAAATGGATTATATAAATAAGTCAAGCAAAACAGAACCATTTTTAGAAAAAAAACCTTCTAAATTCTAGGATCATTTCAGACCATTTTGATGTAATACAGTTTTAATGGTTTAAATTTTTTCAGTTCAAAAGCTTGCTACCTTTATTGTAACTTTGGGAAAAAATGTTCTGATCCATATTATATTACAATATATATTATTAATATAATATTATTATATGATAAAACACCAAGATATAAAGACAAATTATTGTAAAACACTGAAATAAAATTGCAGTAAAATCCAGCCAGGTGATTAGCTCATTTACTGTAAAGGATCTCTCCCATCATTAAGAATAAACCCAGATCTTGCTGCTGAATTGAATCACAGATTTGTCTTCCAAAATGCAAAGCAAATACATTAATATCACTTTTAAAAAATAAAATTTAATATCAAATACCTCACAGTTCCTCACAATTTCCGAGTTAGCATGTCCAATGTTCTGGATATCTTGCATAAAGGAGGCAAGCAGCTCAACAGAACCAGGCTTTAATGAGGACCTGGTATTCCCTGAGTAACCAGAAACTCCACAGGGATTGGATGAAGGACCTCTGGAGAAACACAAAGAAAACAGCTCAATTATTTATTGTGTCAGGTGTGCAACACAGTGGCCCAAACAATACCCTACACCTGCCAGACTGCCAGAATGATACACTCAATTTAGGACTCCCACCATGCTGAAATAAAAATTTCACTTTAACACCAATATTACTGTGAAGGGATGCTAACTAAGCAGAACCAAAATAATGAAAGTAATTGTTAGTGATTGCTTCAGCACATTACCTGTTGGAATTCAAGTTGCAGACAGAGCTGGGGGGGTTTCTGCCATCACAGTCTGCAGAGCACAAGGGGGGTTCTTGTACAGGATTCACTACATCGCTGTTTTCCATATCTCAGTCCCAGGTAAGACATTACCCTGAAAACAGAGAGAAATAAACATCACTCTCTTTATTTAAAAAACATTTGACTTTATTGTGTGAAGAAATAGAATTGGAGAGACATTTGTTTCAGCCAAACCATCCCAAAAAGTGCAAATATTCTACAACCAGGCTTCTCCCTTTTCCTGGGCCACCCTGCAAGCAGGAACTGCTCACTCAGCCTTGGGCCTCCCACAGGTCCAAGGATTCCCAACACATCCAGGCAGGCTGGAAAGGAGGCTGAATGCAAAACATTCCACGTAAAACCAGGTTATCAGGGTCTGATTGGTTGTTTTCTTTAAATCTGGGGCTCCACAGACCATGTGCAAGGTGTGAAATCTCCTATTATTGATGTATTTAGATGTGATTGAAGATCTGAACCCTCACTGTAAGAAACACACTCATCAAAAATAATAAAACTGAGATCAGCTGACTTAGACTGGGGTCAACCAATTCTGCCATTTCTGTGTGTAATATTTGGCTTACTTTTTTCACAGATCACTTGTTCCACTGTTATTATGTAACATTAATTCAGAAGGCTTAAAAACTGAGCTACATTTCTGACCGATTAATAAAACAACAAAAAAAGGAGTCAAACAGGAATCCCACAGTGGATGAAAACAGCAGCTGGTTAACTGAAAGCATCATAAATAAATAAACACACAATACTTGGGCCACAGTCTTACAGCAGACTGGCTGTAGAGAGACTAAAATATTCTTCACTTTCTAGTGAAAGTTTGCACTTTCACTAAGAAAACCCTTGAAATAATTAATTAACCAGTTCTTACACAGGGCTTATTTCAGCATGTTGTACACCCTGGTGAATTCAGCCTGTGTTCTAACACTAAAGAAAAACCTTATGATCATGTCATGGATGGAGAGCAAAAAGAGACATTAAGAAATATCATCTTGGCAGTCTGGTAATGCTAAGAATAAATTCCTGCTGCCTTGAAGAAGCACAACACCAAAGCATGACCATTCCTCTTTACAGGGCCGATGGGTTTTACAGACTCAAGTTTGCATTATTTGCAAGTTCTTGGAGATGTATCTCAAATAATTTCAGAAGTATAATATATTTTCACCAGAAGAAAACTAACTGACAGGTGCCCTATTTTCCTCTGTTTTACTGAAGCCTGCTTGGCTTTAGCAGAAATGTTTTCTGGGTACTCACTCACTATCTCCTCTGGGTAGGGCTGAAAATGCCAGAATTGGAAGGAAATTATCACAGACACACACACCCCTCGGGCAGAGCTTTGTGGGATAAAGAAAAGAAGACAAAACCCATGGCTTTCTTCTTTTTCTAGCGGTCAGAAGCCTGCAAAACTTGGAGGTTATCAGCTGCTGAGCTGACAGCGATGGCAGGGGCTGGGAGTGTCACTGAGCAGGGGATGGGGGCGGCATCAGTCCCCCCGAATCCCCAGGATGGAATCATGGGTGGCCTATCTCGGCAGCACAGCAAATGGGTGGGACTTAGCTGTGACACAGGCTCGTTTCATAACCTCATTAGAAGTCTCCTCTCGATAAAAAAAATATTAGCGAGCTGGAACTGCGCTGCGGGAGCGCTGTCATCCATGGATCCCACTGCACAGCATAGCACAGCGCGGTGCTTACACGGCCATGCAGCTGCGGAAAGGGGCACGGCTGGGAAAATACAATCGGCGAGGTGTTTGTAACTCAGAAATATCGGCGCTGACTTCGGTGCAAACGCCAACACAGAGCCCGTGAGGTTCTGCAGCGCTTCCTGAGCCAGACCCGACTCCTCCCGATCCCTCAGCGGTGCCGGGGGCGCTCGGTGCCCGCGGCCAGGCCCCACCTCCCCACGGACCTTGAGGGACCCTCAGAGGGCACAACGAGCCCGGGGCTGCAGCGCCTGCGGGAGCCGCCCGGGCCCCGAGGGCTCGGCCCCCGCAGGGACCCCTCTTCCACGTCCGCTCCCTCGGGGCCGCCTCCCGTCGGTCCGTAACTCCCTCCCCGGCTCCGCGTGCGCCCCGTCCGCTCGCCAGCGCCACGCTCGCCCCGCGGTGCCCGGGCCCCTCACATGTCACCCCTCACATGCCAGCCCTCACTCGGCGCGGCCCCTCCACGGCCCCGTCCCTTCACCAGGGCCCCCCCCCAGCGGCTCCGCCGCCCCGCCCCGCTCAGGCCAAGCCCCGCCCCTGCGCTCTCATTGGGCGGCCGCTCCTCGCGCTCCGCGATGTTGACAGCGCCGCCGCCTCCGATTGGCTGCACCGCCCGTCACTCTGGGGGAAAGGGGCGGAGCGCTGGGGGCGGCCTCGCTGCTCCGGGATGGGGCGCAGGGACCCGGCCAAGCGCGGCGGTGCTAACCCCGCCGGCTGCCCGCGGGCCCGCTCGGTTCATACCCGCATCGCTGGGAGCCCACGGCGCCCGGCAGCCGCCTCCTCCCGCGGCCGTGAAACGACGAACGGAGCGGCCCTGCACCGCCCGCCCGGCGAGTGGCGGCCGGGAGTTTCGAACGTGGGGACGGGGGTAGAGGGCGCTCCGCACTGAGCCCGGCCCTGTGATTGGCCGCCTCGAGCGCGCGCCTCCCGCGCTGATTCGCTGCGCGGCAAAGCCCGCGCGCCGCCGCCAGGGGAGCGGCGCGCGCCGCGGCGCCGTTCCCCGAGAGAACCGATTGGAGGGCGAGCGCAATCCCCGCCCATCTCGCGCGGCGATTGGCCGCTCCGCGTGCCAATCAGTCCGGCAGCACCGCCCTCCCCACGGCGTGCGCATGCGCGGTGCGGGAGGGCCGGCGGAGGTGAGCGGGGGCCGAGCGGGGCTGAGGGGTCGGGCCTGGTTCGGGCCCGTGGGGTTTTTAACCATATAAATTTCAGTCCTGGTTTCAAAAAGGGCTCTGTAAGTGGGTAGAGCTGATGAAACCTGTTAAATAAAGGCTCGTTCAGAACTAGCCAGAAGCGCTGCTGGCTTTTGTGCATGTATTCTTCATTTTAAAATGTCACTAACTTCTGTAGCGGCTGCCAATAAAAGTTTTCTTTTAATTATTTTTTTATTTCGAGAGTTATGTTCAAATTTTCTGTTTATTGCCAAGCGGCACTGTTTCACACACTGAAATATTTTCTTCTGAGTCAAATAAAGTATTTCAAGCATAACAGCATGTATGGTTTGAATTGCTAACCTAATACTGCAGACTGACACTTGACAGGAGTAGGAGCTGACATTCCTCATTATCCATGAGGGAAATGCACACTTCAGGCATACCTTTGTGCCTTTGTTAATAATATTGTAAATTCCCTGACCTGGGAAAAATCAGATTCACAGTGAGACTGTACAGGTCAGACTGGAGGACTGAAATAATCTATTTTCCCTCTGTTGTTTTGGTTTTTTCCTTTTATTTGTTTAGTATTTTCCAAGTGTTGGTAGGAATATTCCTTTATTTGGTGTATTCCAGGTCCCTTTCAAAATATTTTAAGAAACATAATTACATTGAGAACCAAAATTCTCTTCAGCATGATAAATATTTCAAGGCAAATGAAACCAGATCAGATAACCATGAAAATAAATGTGAATATTGAAATACTACTCAATATGTGCAGCCAAAATAGCTCATCTTAAACAAGAATTCTCATGGTAAACTCCTCTTTCCTATTCCATTCCAGGTTTGGTTGCAGAGAAGCCTTGTCCTGGTTTCTGTATGAATGTTCCAGGTTTATTTCACTTTGCATTCTCACTGAGAGGGGTGCAAGCACCATCATGGGCAGGGTGGGTTCTGAGGAAGCAGCAGCTCTCCCTGCCCAGCCTGCCCTTGCTTCAGGCAGCAAGGAAAAGGAACTCTCTGAATCTCCTTGAACTAAGTGAGGCAGAATTAGAAGAACAGTTTGTAAGAGGGGATGGCCCAGGAGGTCAGGCCACAAACAAGACAAACAACTGTGTTGTCCTGAAGCATATTCCATCTGGGATTGTGGTGAAGGTAATTGGGTTTTCTTTTATTGAGTCACAATAAAGGACTTCCAAGTCTCCTTTCAGAATAAAGCATAATCACAGTGCAGGTGGCATGGAGGAATAGTTTATATATATTTATTTATATTTTTATATGTGTGTGTATGTGTATATATTTATATTTTATATTTATATTGTAAAGGGTCTCAGCAAGAAGCAGTCTTGGCTGTCAGCAGATCAATAAACCTGAGGTCAGAGCTCCTTTTCCTGGCTTTGCCACCCAGTTACAGTTTTGTAGTTTCCAATTAAATTAATCTTCATTGTAGCTGTCACATTCCTGTCCCTCATGTGAGTTAGAATCTCTTCCTTAGCACTCTGCAGATTCTTTTTAAGCATTTCTCTTACCTACTTCTTGTGGATTAATACCTTGAAATTAATCTTTGCTTCCTGTCACAAGGGGAAGACACAGTTAAGTTAAACTCAAGCAGCTTTCCTGGGTAAGATGGGAAGCATTAAAGATTAATGCAAAAGCCAGTCTGATGAGTTACAGTAGCAAATAATTATTAAAATATATTGTCTGAATTTAAAAGTTGCAGCTGTTACTGGTGGGAGGATGCTCTTGGCTTGGGGAGGAGGGGATTTTCTTTAATGGTAGGAATGGATAGACTGAAAGGGAAAGCTGAAGAATAAACAGGTAAAAGTTTCAGTAAAAATATCCTTTGTATTTCTTCAGTGTCATCAGACAAGGTCAGTGGAGAAGAACAGAAAGATTGCCAGAGAAATCCTGCAGGAGAAAGTTGACCTTTTCTACAAAGGAGAAGACAGCGATGTTTTTAAAGAGAAGAAAACATCGGAAAAGCAAAAGCAGGAGAAAAAAAGAAGAGCAAAGGAAAACCTAGAAAGGAAAAAGCTTTTTAAAGAGATGCAACAATTGGATAAGGAATGAAGATGTGAAATATTGCCTTGCCCTGGCAGGGTAAGAGAATTGTTTGTCATTAGACCCAAAGAGTTTTCCAGCTAACAAATGATGCAGGGCTTCATAAGCACAGCTGAAACCCCGGTGCTGACCTGCTGTTCCTGCAAAGCTGAGCAGATAAAAGCACTCATGTACTCCTGCTTCTCCCTGCCACCATCTCATTAATCACATCCAGCAATCACTTTTTCTGCCAGGTCCAGCAGATAAAGGAATCCTTGTTAAAGAGGAGCTATAAGCTTTCCACCATTGTTAGCACAGACCAAAAGAAATCAATAGATTTCCTCCTGTGCAGATGACACCTGGGCTGCTTCCTGGGAGCCCCAGCACACGAGAACAGCACTGAAAGGTTCTCACTTCCCACCCTTACCCAGGCAGTGCCTTCAGACATAAATCCCTTACAAACTGGGACCAGGTTTGGGTGCTGGTTAAACTGAGCTGCTGCTGGAAGAGACACCAGTCACTGCTTCAGAGCTGAACAAGCTCTGTCCTGCTCAGCTCTGGGTAAAATTTACCCAGCAGCTTTCCAGACCTTACCTGGAGTGGTGCTGAGCACTGGGGCACAGGGAGGGCCCTCTGCAGGTCAGGGATGGTCACTCATGGCCCTCCAGTTCAGGGTAAAACTGAGTCATTACAGATAAAAAATTACCTCTGTTGGAAGCTGCCTCCCAAGGCAGCAGAGTCCACTCCATCCAAGCTGTGAATTAATTAATTAGAGTTGTTTGTTATGTTTATGCTGTGCTGCAGTTCAGCTTGGCCATGTTGGTACCTTCACTCATTTTGACAGTTTCCCATTTTACAGGAACAAATGCAGCTGTGTTTCCTTTGTCACCATTCCTCTGAAGTACCTTTTTCCTGGTTTTATCCTGTTAACAATTCCAGCAGCTTAACCAGAACTTATCTTTCATTTTTGGACAGCACCCTCACCAGCTGCCACCACGTTTTGGCCTTCAACAAAGGCCCAAAGCCAGAGTGTGGATTTTGAAGGAACTTCACCTCCTTGTCCCAGAGACAGCTATGCCCTGTGCCATGGATGGATGCTCCAGCAATCTGCAGCCCCTTCCTTGTCCTTTCCTAAACTCCTGCATGAAGGTTAAATTTTCATCTGTTGACAGCCCTTGCTCCTGGAGTATGAATCTGATTAAAGTGACTGTACATAGTTTTAATACAAACTGTTAATGAAAATAAGCTTTATTACGTCAAGTAATAAATACATACAAAGATGCAAATAACAGTTTTAGTAATTTATCCAGAATGTTCATTTTTCTTTTCTTTTTTTTTTTTTTTTTTGCAAACTTTAAACTGAAATCTCCAGCCTTAATGTAGAAATTAGCTTTCCAGGACCTTGTTATTATTTAATAGGTTTCCCTATTTTCCATATAGCTCATGCACTTTAAGTGGACTTCAAAGCACTAACAGTCATGCAAATGTTTATGCAAAATGAACAAAAAAAGGAAAAATAAGAGAAGGGGAAGGTTATTTCTAAGCAGGGTCTATGCTGTATGACAAATTGTGACTTAGCAGACTACTAGGTACAGCATGCTATTCTGCATTTATTAAAAAAAATCCTTAGAGCTTATGTCAAACTTTGAAAGATTGACGTTTTGGGGATAAGTGAACATAGTCAAAGGAAAAACAAAAAACAGAATGAGGCTGTGGCTGGATAAGAAGAGAACTGAAATATAGCCTGGGAGAGAAAGAGCATTCCTCTGCATGCACTTCAGTTTCCATGTTTTAGAAACATTTTAGGGAGTTTTAATGTCTTTAGAAAATGCAAACCCTCAGTAAGGTGAAAAATCCTTGGTGGTTTTTTTTTTCCCTCATTCTTTAACTGTACATTTTTGCAAGGGCAAAACAAGAACGGTAAAACATTCAAAATAAAGGAGTTTGTGTGAATGTTTCAAGAGTCAAAAAGAAGAAGTGTTACTCTTTCTTCATGGGGAGAAGGAGAGCCTTGCCCTGAAGCTGGGCTAGGACCTCGCGTTCCGCTCCGTCTCGGCCAGGCACTCCCGCACCAATCCTCTGGCATGGATGATGCCTGCAAGAGAGTTGCTGCTTGAAATCATCCCATCAAAAGTGTTTAAATCATCCCACTCAGGCCACACTTGCAGTGGCAGTGCACAGAAAGGTTTATGTGTTTCTGTCCCCAGCTGCCAAGGCTACCACAGCAGGCCCCAGCAGAGGGGACAGCCCTGGCTCCCCAAAGTGCCACTGAACAAATCTGCCTTCCCAAACTTGCATTGTAAATTGGAAAGGGACTAAACCAGGGATCAGAACACAGTCAGATTTGTAAGTCTGCAGTGGCAGGTAGGTCTTAATGTGCAGTGTGGGCCTCCTTAAAATTAAAGATTTAAGGGGGGAAAAAAATCTTACCTACAGTGAGTTATTTTGCCAGTGGAGTGAAACAAATTACAAAGTTACTTGGGGAGTCATTTTAGCAAGCTCTTAATGCCTTGGGATAGTTCTCTGGGAGGATGCATCAAAATCCAAGCCATCATAATACTGTTAAAGACAAGTTGTTTCTCTCATGTAAAAATAAGAGATTTTTTTTTTTATGGTGTGTGCAGAAAGTTACCCCCTAACACTGGCTCAGCTCCCAGTGTAAATCATCACATGCTGCTCTCATCTGATGGACATAATGTGGAATTTTCCTCTACGAGTCCTGTTGCCTTGAGTTCCATCCAGCAGTCTGGACTCTGGTTCATAATCCTGGAACTAAATGTGGATTCATGCTCACAGAGCTGCTGGAAGAACAGAGCTTGAGAGAGGTGTGAAAATGAGAAGTGGACAGATTTCTCTACAACAAAGGTTTTTATTTTGCTGACTAGGCAAGACAGAAGGTGATTTCTCTGCTCATCACGCTCCTTAGCCAGGCAGAGGAAGGGCAGTAAGGCAACAGAAGGGGGTTAATCTCGAGATAAAGGATTCTGTTTCTAGAAGGCTCCTAGCCCAGATGACAGCAGCTGCTGCTGACCTGGGAGGACCTGGTGAGTGCAAGGCTTGGCACAGGGTTGAACTGCCACGGAGGGGGAAAGCTGCAGCTGTGGGATGCAGAAACATGAACTCAGAGCAGTGTTAGACCTGGATCTGGTGGCAGCATGCCCAGCTCATGCAGCAGAACTACTCTGAATAATGTAGAACACTGGGAATGGGGCCAGTTTTAGAGGTCAGTAGTGCTCAGGAGCAGGCAGAGCTGGGGACAGGGACTTCATTCAGGGATAACTCCATGGCCATGGAGGCAGCAGTCACATGTTACCCTCAATCATTCTGCTCTCACACTTGCACATGCTCCTTCAGCCAGCAGGCTCCCAAAATGGAAAGAGAGGTACCTTTGTGACCAAAAGATGGCAGCAAAAAGTATTTATTCAGGATTTTGTGCAACACTGGCGAGTCACAGTGGCAGCATTGTATCTTAAACCTACCTTGTTGCAAGAGGCAGCAAAGCAACTTTTTCTTCACTGAACTAAACCATCCAGCCCAGAGAACATCTGCATCTCTCTCAGTCTCTCTCAAGCTGTCCCCATTAGCCTGTTGCCATTCATGATCTATTAATACTGACTCAGGCAATGCAATAAAGAGAGACTCCAGCAACATTGATTTTAGCTGGGCCAGATTCCACTTACCACTCATCAGCAGACTTTATTGCATCCTTTCCCAGAACAGCTACTAGTCATTTTATTGCATGTCATGGCAGATATATTGCTCTTCCATAATGGCTGAGCCTTAAATAAAGCTTTGTAGTCTGGGGTAAGTGTAAGGGGGATTTGCAAGGTGCTGAACTTAGTCTGTTACAATAACATTCCCATTGAATGCATGAGCCAATCTCATCACAAGGACCACAGGAAGGGAGGAAAAGTGAGCATGTCAAGCTAGAGAAGGAGAGAACTGCCAGTACAACTGCTGTCTGTGCCCTTCAGGGTCATTTCAGGAGCTGGAGCAGAGGAATGTCCCATGTCTGCTCCTTCAGAAATGTCCCTGCACGTCCCTGCAGAGGACAATGCCAGGCTGATGTCAGCGCTGGGACATGCAGGGGTTTCTTTTACACTCCAAGGAAAAGGCTTTATTACCCCTTTTAGCTGACAAAGCAAAGCTGGAGACACTCATCAGCCAGCCCTAAAAGCTGCTCTGTCCCTTTCTAGTGGACTTTTAATGACATGCACTTGACAGGAGGTAACAGAGCCTGAGCAGCCCCACTCTCCTCTGCACAGAGCTCTGCTCATGTTTGACATCTCAGCCTGAACAGCCTCCCCTAACACCTTTTTGGATTTTTTTTTTTTGTAGCTCTTTTCTCCTCCAGCCTCAATGAGAACCACCACAGTGCTGTATTTCTTTAGGCAAAATGCACTTCAGTGAAGATTCCTGGGCCAAGCAGATGGGAGATGTGTATGAGATGCAAACAGTGCTCGGCTGTGGATTTTGGGGAGTGGGGAGAAAAGGGAATTGAAAGAACAAGAAAATCACCAGGAGCCTGAAAAAATGCATCCATGAAAGGTTCTACAATATGAATTATTTGAATTTGACTTTGAATTATTAACTGAAACTCCCTGTATGCATAAGACACTTTTTGTCACTGTTTATCTATCAAATTCTGCTCAGACAGAGCATCCCAAGGTTTCAGTTTCTGGCTAATACTCCCACTTTCAGGAGGAGCTCAAGTTGTCTCTCTTCAAAGGAAACAGTTGTCATTAAGCTGTATACAAGTAGTCAGTGCACAAGTGGATGGGAAATTATTATTTTTTAAAAGAAGTTCAAAAGTTACCTCTTTTTAGCCTCTCCATGGCACTTTTACTCCCAGCATATGTAGGTCTAATCTCTTTTCCTAATTCTTCTATGATAGCTAGAAGTTCTGCATATTTGCTCTGTGGTACTTGACTGCTGCTGGTGCCCTGCAGTTGAAAGTAGATTAATCTCAGTCAAATACTGTAAAAACAAATCAATTACAAGAAACAGCAAATGGAAGTTTATGGAAGACCAGAAATAGCCCTGTAAATCACTTTTTAAAAGAACAAAATTTCAGGATTATTAAATAAACATGATTTTTGTTTTAATTGCTGCTACAGTTGGACACAATGCCGCGTGCCCTTCAAAAATTGGGATCAACTGTGAGGATGCAGCTGCAAGCCTTGGACTTTGGGTGAAGCAAAGTTAAAACAGTCCTGCAAAACCAGCAAACCTGGAACTGCTTACTTAACCCTGTTTCTGGTTTTTCAATGTTTCAGTGTGTATTTTGTGGAGAAATTCACCAGGTGGGGAGATTGAGAAGATAAAACTGAACAGGAATATTGAGCTTTTAACAAATAACTTTAAAATACATAAGTGCCCTTACAGAACATAATTCAAGACATTTCTCTGACTCAGACAGGACAGGACTAGCAGTTAATTAGGAACCAACCTCACTCAGCACTCAGCTTAGCCTAATTTGATCCCCAGACATGTGCAAGGAAGCAGTCTGCCATTTGGGTTTGATTTCAGACCTTGCAGGGAGGGAGGAGCACCTCAGATTACAGGCCACAATCCCTGCCACCATGCAAAGGCAGGGTCAGAGATCTGATGAAAGGAAAAGAAGCAGAGCTGTACCTGCATCCCTTGTGTGTAGCCTAGGGATGGGGGGCCGTAGTCGTTTATGAGCTGTCTGTACTGTGCTGATGTTGCCATGCTTGTGGAGGGAGAGTGAACACCCCCAGCTGCAGAGAGAAAAGAGAGAAAAAAAACCAAAAACCTGTTATTACCTAAAGATTAATTAGTCTGTTACATTTTAATCACTTCTTCCTAAAGCTGTGACCTCTCACCTTTGCCTGAGATCACTAATGACATTTCTGAGTGTCACTGCTAGGAAGAGAACGGCTGAATTAATGCTTCTCTCATGTTTGATGAACACTTGGAAATAGCACAGCCTGCAGCATTATCAGTGCAAATTGTTTGCCTAAAAGTGAAGCAGAGTGCAGCATGACAGGTTGTTCTGCCTAGACAAACTGCAAGTATTAAGGAGCCCTATTTTTGCATATATACATTCCACACAGATGAGTCTAATGTGCCAGGCTATTTTTACTTTTTCAGTGCAAGTTATCTGAAAGTAATTTTGCAACTCAAAGTGTCATCACATGGTCAAAGCAAGTTACCCTCAGTACTATTTTCAGCCAATGCCAAAACTATTCCTGGGGAACAGTCAGTTGTGGTACATCAGATCTGCTGCTCATTGTGTGACATGGGAGGTGAGGAGTGCTACCATTATTCCTCTTTGTGTGATATCAAACATTTTTAGCCAGTCAAATTGTGCTGTATAAGTAGATCAAAGGGAAAATAACATCACTTTGTGTTATGGTTACTTTTTCTAAAGTTATAAAAGATTATATTCACATCTAATGAGTTTTGAGTCAGTTACGAGCTGCAGAAACAGACTCTAATGTCATCACTGACAAACTGCTCCAGAAATGAGCAATCACAACACCTTCTCCCCCTTGTCCTGCAATGGTAAGAATTTAAGTTTGAGAAACAACAGTTTGAATTTTTTTAAGGGGTTTAATTATACTGCCCACTTCACAAGTGTGCTAAAAACCAGCTGGTTTTGCACTTGGGATCAAGGGAGCACCACAGCACTGAACTTCTTCACTCCTGCAGCCCAAGTGCCCTTGCACCCATGGATGCTGCTGCCTTTGCCTGTAGGCACAGACACAGACTGCCTGCTGTCTGCAAATATCTCCCCCCCTACAAACTCCTTTGCTGAAAATTCCCGACTGTCTTTCAGATGAGGAACAGATCTCATTTACCAGCCTTCATTTAAATCTAAATTAAACTGATGCTAAAAGTCGCTGGGGCTCAGAACTATGTAAATCTCTGGCTTTGTTTTAAAGTTGCAAATTACTTCATTCCTATTTTCCCCTCTCTACAAAAGGAAAGGACCAGCAGTTACTCTGTAAAAAGCTCTGCTGAACATAGTGGAACAGATTCTTGTCCTCAGATGGGAAATCTCTTTCCAGTTCAGAGTTATCACAGGATATCACTCATTACAAGAAGAGAGCACGATCTTAATTTTTACTAGTTAACCAGAGGTGAAATCCCAAAAAGGCAAACTGGGCTGGTCACTAGGTCACAAAGTTTCTCTTTGTCTTTAACAAAGCTGCTAAATTCTATGTCATTACAACCTGCAGTTTCATCACTGAGGTTTCACATGGAGCTAATTTTGCTTAAGCATAGTAAACCCCCCCAAAAAACAACACAGCCATAGAGTAGGGCACTGTAGGAACAGCACAGTTGTCAGCCACTCTCTCAATTAGTTCTTCACATTATCACCTCAAAATACATGCACAAGTGTAAGATCTCTCCATGTGAAACTCAGTACTTCAAGTCCAGATGACTGAATTTCAACAATTACCAAACATGACACAACAGCAAACCGCATCTCTTTTCCAAGGACTTCAAAATGCTTCAAAAACATTAATGAGCCCCTTGTGCTGCAAGGTAAGAAGGTTTAATTACCTCAATTAAGCAGAGAAAGGCTTAAGTGATTTTTCCTCACTACAATAAAACAAAAGAGCCATCCTGCAAAGACTTGTCTCTGAACTGTTGTTGCAAGCAGTCACATCCAGGAGCTGGGAGCTCCAGACTGGATGTGGACAAGGCAGGGACTCCCAGGACCAGGCTCAAGAACACTGAGCAAAACTGAGCTGCAGCCCATGCAAAACTCAGAGCAACTTACTGATCCCATATGGGTCAATAAAAACATATTGGTTAAGGATATAGATCAGGAGATGGTGGGCAATGGAACAGGGGTCACAGCACCAAGCCTGGTTTGGGAAACATTTGGAAAATGCTCTCAGGAACATGCTGTGAGTCTCAGGGTGTCCTGGCTGATGGGTCCCTTCCATCTCAGCACATTCTGTGCTATCACAGCACACACAATTCAGAGATTGTTTCACATTCTGTCCATTTTAGCAGTGACACACACTCGGTCTGCAGGAGATAACACCGTGGGGTACATTAGATAGGACAGACAAACTCTCCAACACAAACCACAGAGTTGGGTGACCAAGAAAAGTTTCACGGGCGTGCAAACAGCACAGGGGCTTGACCCCAGCTGTGGCTGGGGGACACCGAGGGACAAAGGGGAGCGAGGAGGGATGCACAGGGGAGGGATGCAGAGGGGATGCACACAGGAGGGATGCACACACAGGGATGACACAGGAGGGATGCACACAGGGATGCACAGGGGAGGGATGCACACAGGGATGCACACACAGGGATGCACACACAGGGATGACACAGGAGGGATGCACACAGGGATGCACACAGGGATGCACACACAGGGATGCACACACAGGGATGCACACACAGGGATGCACACACAGGGATGCACACAGGGATGCACACAGGGATGCACACAGCAGGGATGCACACAGGGATGCACACAGGGATGCACACAGGAGGGATGCTCAGAGCAGGGATGCACCCAGGGATGCACACACAGGGATGCACCCAGGGATGCACACACAGGGATGCACACAGGAGGGATGCACACACAGGGATGCACACAGCAGGGATGACACAGGAGGGATGCACACAGGGATGCACACAGCAGGGATGACACAGGAGGGATGCACACAGGGATGCACACAGCAGGGATGCACACACAGGGATGCACACAGGGATGCACACAGGGATGCACACAGCAGGGATGCACACAGCAGGGATGACACAGGAGGGATGCACACAGGGATGCACACAGCAGGGATGCACACAGCAGGGATGACACAGGAGGGATGCACACAGGGATGCACACACAGGGATGCACACAGCAGGGATGACACAGGAGGGATGCACACAGGGATGCACACACAGGGATGCACACAGGGATGCACACAGGAGGGATGCTCAGAGCAGGGATGCACCCAGGGATGCACACACAGGGATGCACACAGGAGGGATGCACACAGGGATGCACACAGGGATGCACACACAGGGATGCACACACAGGGATGCACACAGGGATGCACACAGGGATGCACACACAGGGATGACACAGGAGGGATGCACACAGGGATGCACACACAGGGACGCACACAGCAGGGATGACACAGGAGGGATGCACACAGGGATGCACACAGGGATGCACACAGCAGGGATGACACAGGAGGGATGCTCCGAGCAGGGATGACACAGGAGCGGCGCGGCCGGAGCACTGCAGAGCGCGCTGCAGACACTAGAGGCCATCTGAGAGCGCCGGGCCCTGCCAAGTGACAGAGCCTGGTAACCATGGTGAGTTTACCCGTTTCTTTGCAGTCTGCATCAAAAATGTAATAAGACATAATGCCATGCGCCGACCACTTTATCAGCAGCAGCAGCAGGCCCGGAGAACAAAGGAAAGGATTTGGCTTAGCCGCGGTACCAGCCTCCATGCATCCATGGCAGAAGTTGTGCCAGCCAAACTCGGCTGGAGGGGGGGAAAAGGAAAAATCCTTGGTTTCACCTCAATTTTAAAAGATGCAATCATGAAAATGAAATTAATTGGGGGGGTGGGAGGGGGGTGTTAGCATCTCACAGGGCAACAAGCTTTTTGACCTATCACTTTGTATGTTAATCTCAGGGAGAAGTCCTGGGTCTTGCATGACTATTACTCAATTAACCCCAAATTCATCTGCATGTCTGAGCAGTCTGTGTATCTCGGATTTAAAAAAATTTAAAAAAAAAACCCCACCAGATATTGCTATTATAGTTAGAAATTAGGCCAGGAAGTCTCACAGTCAATACCCAGTCAAAAATCGGTGTGATGATTAGGTATTCACTAGAGAGAAAAAAGGAGGGGGGATCTAAATTGAGGCTTGCTCTCTCCAACGTTAAAATGACAATGGAGACAGTTAAGAACTGACAGAATGGAGAAGGGAGTGTGCTTGGTGCTGAATTTCAGTGGCATCCTGTATCACATCCCAAACCGTCTTAGTGCTTGCTGCTGTTTAAAACCTAAATTAATACACACACTTTCCTCCCCTCACTTTCCCAATTAAATGTACACAAAACCCTGTAGATCCCCATTATTCTAGAGCAAACAATGTCTTTTATTTCTGTATTCCAGCAGAAGACTGCCACAAGCATTTTCCCCCACAAAAATATAGTGATTTTCTTGTTAATTAATATTAATCTTTATTAATTATGGGGGGTACAGCAAACAGAAACGAGATTTTGGTATCAAAATCTCTTCCTTCCAGCAGTCTCTCTCAGCCCAAATTAACACCCTGAGAGACAAAGGATCTCAAATCAATCTTTGTTTGCCTAAACTCCTGGTGACCAGGAACCTCCTCATTAATTTCTGATAAGTTTGTAGGGATCCCTTCAGCTCCAAACCTGAGCAATGACAACCAATTTGCTGCTTCAAGTTTTAATTCTTAATTCTATTACTGCTGCTTGCTGGAAAAATAACAGGGAAGGCAGCTTGCTGAGCACCCTGAAAGAAGCAGCAGGAGCAGGAACACTTGGGTACACTCACCTGATCCACTCTGGCAGATGCCAAAGCATCCACACAGCTCTGCTACCCCCGTTCCACAGGCAGCAAAGGAAAACCAGGAACAGCCACACAACTCACTGAGTTACTCGTGTAGGACTGACTTAGACAAGCCAAGGGGCAATCCCACTGAATGTGTGCTTCCCAATCCCACTGCATGTGTGCTTCCCAACCCCATGGATGTGTGCTTCC